ATATGTGCAATGGAAAATGTTATTTTGTTTTGAGGAGGAAAAGATATTCTGACAACTAAGACTTAGGATAAAATTCCTGTGCTGTTTATAGAAAGGCTGAAGTGGGGAGATGTATGGCGAATCCACCCCTCAAGCCACCCCTGGTTGTCCTGTTGAGGGCAGGAACCTGAAGGAACAGATTCTGATGCGAGGTTCTTTTTGGAGTTCTGTTTAGGAAAGGGGCTACGGAGTACCTGTTCTCACTTGAAAGTTGCTGTCCCTAGTCTAGTACTGGTGACTCTCCGGCTACTGTGTAAGTTTCCTGATTCAGGTTGCGTATGCCTTTCTCATGGCCTCAGACTCACAAAGATTTCCTCTGTAGTCAACATGGACACACACCCAGGGCCTAGATTTCTGACTCATTGATCTTCTTTCAACCACAGCCTTCTCCTATCCTTATTCTACCCAGCTCTGAAAAATTTTAGGATTGAGAAGAGAGTTGGGAACCATCTTCAAAGGGATGAGGGGGTTGGCCTTGTTGTGATGAAGTGGTTGATAGTCAAGACTCGTTGGGGATATCCATTAAATAGTGCCTCCAAGACTCATTTTCTGTGTTTGTTTGTTTTTCCTGTTGGTGGTGTTAGGTACTGTTGAGTTAGTTCCAACTCATAGCAACCCTCTGCACAACAGAATGAAATAGTGCCCAGTCCTGCTCCACCCTCACAATTGTTATGCTTGAATCCATTATTACTGCCACTGTGTCAATCCATCATGTTGGGGGACAGGGGAGGTCTTCCTCTCTTTTCATGACCTTCCATTTTTCCAAGCAAGATGCCCTTCTCAAGGGACTCGTCCTTCCTAATAGCATGACCAAAGTACAAGAGAAGTCTCACCATGCTGACATGTATGTAGCATTCTGGTTGTTCTTCTTCCAGGATAGATTTGTTGGTTTTTCTGGCAATCCATGGCACTTTGAATATTCTTCTCCAAAAACCACAATTCAAATGCACTGATTCTTCAGCTTCAACCAGTACTTGCACATGAGCAACTGATGGTCTGTTCTACACTTTCTGGCCTTGTTTTGTCTGATGATATTTAGCTTCTCCATTGTCTCTTCCCACAGATGTAGTCAATTTAATTCCTGTTTATTCCATCTGGAGAGGTGCAGGTTGCCTTTAATGTTGTTGAAAAAAGGTATTTACAGTGAAAAAGTAATTGGTCTTGCAAAATATTATCATGCACTCGCCAGCATTATTTCTATTATCAAGGCCATTCTTCCTGTTTGTGTCCAACTTTTGCATTCCAATCTTCGGTAATTTTCAATGCATTTTGATTGCATGTTTGATCAATTTCACACTGAAGTTCGTAGAATTCTTCAGTTTCAACATCACTGGCTTTAGTGGTTGGTGTATAAATCTGAATAATTGTGGTATTAACTGCTCTTGCTTGTAGGCATATGGATATTTTCCTATCATCAACAGCATTAAACTTCAAGATATATTTTGAAATCGTGTTTTCAACAATGAATACATCACCATTCCTTTTCAATTTGTTGTTCTCAGCATAGTAAACAATATGATTGTCTGATTCAAATTGGCTAATACCAGTCCACCACTGCTTAGGATAAGGACAGGACTGCAAACCACAAGGTTGTCTGATCGAGCCCACCAAATATGCTGAGGGAGAAACATGAGGCTTCCCTTCTCCTGCAAAGATTTTGAAAAAACCAACAACATAAAACCTTGGAATCCCTATTGTGGTGGTGATGATGATGTGCTGTGGAGTCGGTTCTGACCCATAGCAATCCTGCATAAGGTTTCCAAGGCTGGAAATCTTTACAGGAGCAGAAAGCCTCATCTTTTTCCTGCAGAACAGGCGGTAGTTTTGAACTGTTGGCCATAAGATTAGTAGCCCAACTAGTAACCATTGTGCTACCAGAGCTCCTTCAGAATCCCTATAGAGGGTCTCTATGAGTTGGAACTGACTCCACAGCTCTTAACAACTAGATGTAAAGTTGTAACAAAGATTTACTGAGTTGACAGGAAGTCCCAGTAAGTGTCCTATAAATGTCAGCTGTAACTATTGGAGTCCTGGTGTGGCACTGTAGGGTCAGCACTGGACCACAAAGCCAATTTGAACTGCAAGGTCAGTGGTTCAAACTCACCAGTGGTTCCTCAGAACCTCTGTAGAAGGTCTCTATTAACAACAACAACAACAATAGCCCATTTCAGCTCACTAATGCCTAGGATACTGATCTTTATGCACTACAGTTCATTCTCAACAACTTCCAGTTTTCCGAGATTCATACTTCGTACATTCCATGTTCTGGTTATTAATGGATGCTTGCAGTTGTTTCTTCTCATTTTGAGTTGTGCCACATCAGCAAATGAAGGTTCTGGTAGCTTTATGCATCCACTTCATTAAGGTACACTCTGACTTGAGGCAGCAGCTGGTGGCCAGTTGTATTTTGATTTCTTTCCTATCTGAGGAGCTCCTCTGACACTGTATCAGACAATGTTCTTCTTTTTATTCATAAAGTTTTCAATGCTTAAGTTCTCAGAAGTGAACCCATACTCCTTCCTCTTAGTCTGGAAGCTCCACTGAAACCTGTCCACCATGGTGACCCTGCTGGTCTTTGAAACATTGCAGGCATAACTTTCACTGTCACAGCAACACACAAGCCACCACAGCATGATAAACTGAGAGATGAGTGGTGGGCTTTTACCCTAGTCTCTCAAGTTTGGGAACCCATTGAGAAGGGAAGTGAGTAGGAAACAGACGCAACGAGAAGAAATGTGGAGTAGATAATGAGGGTGGATGTAGTTTCAGAAAGTTGGTAGAAAAATTCCATTACCTTTTTTTGCTTTTTTTCCAAACCAAAGTTCTCACATATTTATTAGCCATCCTCTTTAAGTGTAGAAGCATAAAAATAAAGGAAGAAACCAGAAGTTTTGCAAAACATGTTAAATTGACCAAATCATGGCAAAGTTGAACTTGCTATGGTAGCATGCTAGGACCTGGGTATATGATGTGCTGTGTTATCACATGTGCCATTCCTAGAGACCCAGCTTGGGTCTTCTCCAGTGTCTTCTCTTGGAGTTGTATCTGATTTCATTATCAGTTTTCATTCAAATCCATTGGGGAATGGATGTTTCTGCTTTTGTTTCGTGGCCAAGAATTTCTTGATCCTGAGACTCTTATGAGAAGTCATAGTAAAGACAGAATGTAGCAGCACTCACATGATGGTGAAGAAACGAAGAGCTCCAGTATTTATAATTCCATTTTTCTATGAACATTTTGACCCACCCTTGTATTCCCCCTTTGCCACAAGGATGGTTTTGTTATAACTCATCCCCTTGCAGAGAATCTATTTGAGTTTTTTTGATACATTCTTGAGTACGTCTTTTCATGACTGTATTTGAACAATGGTGAGGTTGTAGGTATATACATCTTCTGAAGTGACACATCATACATTAAAATTATTATAAAAATTGGTATCTACTATCACCTGTCAAGAAAATAACTCTTTTCTATGTTAGTTTTTGCTATGGGTTAATGCACTGGACTGCAGAGTTGGCTTCAACCACAAGGTTGGCGGTTCAAGCTTACCAGTTGCTCTTTGGAACTGACTTGATGGCACTTAACTACAACAATGTTAGTATTAGAAAAGGAAGACACTAAGGGGCAGGGTAGATAGGAAAAAGGAAAGACAACTCAGTGGGAAATACAGAACTCATATTCCAAGGTGAGTCTTGGAAGTAGAAAATCAAAGCCATCACAGACCTGGATTGGTAGTAGTGGACCCTGGTGAAATTGTCTAGTGGTGTACTGCAAGAAGATACCTTGTTGTTGTTGTTGTTAGGGGCCATTGAGTGGGTACTGGCCCATGGCGACCTTATGCACAGCAGAACGAAACACTGCCTGACCCTGGGCTAACTTCACTACTGTTGCCATGCTTGAGTCCATTGATGCTGCCACTTGGTCAATCCATCTTGTTGGGGGTCTTCCTCTTTTTCTCTGACCCTCCACCTTAACAAACACGATATCTTTCTCCAGCGACTGGTCCCTCTGGACAATATGTCCAAAACATGA